AGCTTTAAAAGACTGATAAATATATCCAAAGATTTATAATACATGGGGAAAACAGACAACATGTGTGAAAAGATGTGGAATTTCAGCAGAGAGAGGGTTTTAGCTAAATAAAGAGTCTAGAAATGAAAAAAATACAATATGGGAAATGAATTGGCTCAGTGGGTTTATCAGGAAACTGCATACAGTTGAGAGAAGAATCCGTGATTTGAAGAACTGGCAATTACAAAGTATCTAGAGAGAAAGATAGTGAGAAAAGGAGAAATTAGAGGGGAAAGAACATCTGAGATTTATAAGGCACAATCAAAGGGTCTAATTTCCATGTCTCTGGAATCTCCGAAGGCGGAGAGAAGGGTACAGAAGAATTCCTTCAAGAGAGATGCTTACGGCCATTGGGTTGGTTCTGAGTCATAGTGACCCTATAGGACAGCATAGACCTGCACCTGTGCGTTTCCAAGACTAACCCTTGGTGGACGTAGAACACCTCATTATTGTCCTAGGAGTGGCTGTTGGTTTCGAACTGCAACCTTATGGGTTAGCACTCCAACTCGAAACCCTGCACCATCAGGGTGCCTTTAAACTCAAACTCGCTGCCGTCAATTCAATTCTGACTCACAGTAACTCCTACACGCGATAGCTGGAAGAAGCAGATGAATGACTGGCCTTGACTTCGGTCTTTGGAGCTCAGGGAACCCAAGCAGGATGTACAAAGAAAAACATAACCCAGACACATCATAGTCAACCTGCAGGGAATCAAAGATAAAGGAAGCATCCATAGAGAAATGCAATGGAGTAGAGCAGCTAGGACCCAAAGCCTGGTATTCTGGTACCTTCTAAGTACATCTCTCATTGACTGATGCCACGCCACATTGCAGGTGACTCTAGGGAGGGTTTAGCTGATCTGTCTGAGAGCAACTCCCTGTAGGAACTGTACCTAGACTTGGAAAATGGAGGTGGGGAAAGTAGGTACCAGAGGAGACAGGACATCCCACACGAAGGCAAGTCAAGAAGAGGAAGTGGAGAAGGTAGCCCCTCCATGAGTTCCTCGGTGATTAGATATGGTTCTAGCCTCCCTTTCATTCTTCCCCCAAAGAGGCAAAGACTGTTCCCACTCCATCTGCACAGTAGCTCCTAAGTGAGAGGCTTGTCCATGCTCTTTACCCCAAGTTTCAGAGAGCGTTTACACACAGAAGACCCTACCCCCCGCCCTCCGCAGGACGCCTGATGTGACTCACGACAGCAGAGGTGGCTTAAAAACACATCTGTATGGTTTTGTTTTGTGGTGTGATTTTTCCCCCTTTATAGGAAAACCGTTTGTCTTCATTTCCTTTCAAACAATGAACCAACCACAAAGCAATGGATGAAAGAGCATCCCATTGCTGAACCTGGGTTTGGTTGGTAGGAGAACAAAGGGAAAACCATTCTTCGGAATTCTCACTGCATTGACCCTTTTGATACGGTCCATACACTTCCGTTTCCGTGTGAGTGCTCTTTGGGAAAGCTGCAGAAAAGGCCCAGGTTTTCAGCTTGTTTCCCACCATGTCACTCGATCTGGTGGCCTCGTGGCAGTTGGCCATAGGGTTTGTCTATGTCCTCATAGACATTTGAATTGTCTGCTTTTAAATGAACACAAATATGACACACACTCCATCATAATAGAGTAT